AAGAAAATAGTAAAACCATGGTTTTTAAAAATAATTTAGCAATTATTAAATTTCTATTCTGTGCCAATCACTGTACTAAATTTACTGAATTTCTACCTTGTACAGATCACTGGGATAAAAGAAGTAAGTAACATGAATTAAGACATGGGTACTGTCTATGAAGGAGCTTAAAACCTAGTACTGGTCACAGACAGAATGCACAACATTTAAGAGACTGGATGTGGAAGTGTAGAGCGTGGTCTGTCGATGGACCTGCTATATTTGAAGTTCTAAATTATAGAACCCTGCTGTTAGAGTAGCTGTGTGCTCTGGACAAATCACTTGATCTCTCCAAACCTCAGTTATTTTATTGTTATTGGAGCGGTGGTTGCTAGTATTTAAAATGAAGATAATTATACCTAATTTCCTGCTGCTTAGTGAGAATTACAATAAATAATGCAAAGGAATCACCCGGTCCGTTGCGGGGAGTAAAATGGTCAACAAACGACTGTTGGGAAACAAAGTTTGAAAAACTCGGCTGCTGACCCCCTCACTCATAGAGAAGCTGGCACCCTCCCGTGGGAGGCCATGTCCAGGGCGCTTCACATGCTGAGCCCAGGCCTTGGAGAAGAAAAGTAATGGCGGGCCCAGTCACTCCTTCCAGTGCTGAGCTGGAGGACAAAGAGCAGCTGTCCCTTCAGCGGCCAGGACAGGGCTCATAGCAGTGGATCCCCTACCACCATTTTTGTTATGTTTTGTTTGTTTTGTTTTGTTCTTTGTTACAAAAAGAAAACCAAAATATAAAAGAGGTAGCATATATGCAGTTGCTGACTTAGTTAACAAGTTTACCAGCTCTGCTGAGGCCATGATGCTGTGAGCTGGCTAAGTCAGGGAAGGCTCCCAGGGAGCAGAAATTGCACGGGGAGGAGGGGAAGGCCACCTGTGAGCTGGTAGGCAAGAGTGCCGGCTGGGAGGCACGAGACCTGGGGGAGGCTTCCTTTTTGCTTGAGACCAGGGCAAATTCCTGAGGCCCCCTGTGTCTCGGTTTCCGCTACTGTAAACCAAGGAGGCTAGACTATACCCATAATTCCCAAATCCAGATGGCTGTCATATTCCTGCGGAGAGCTTCCTAGGAAGAGGCCCAACCTTAGAACACTAAGGTTTTTTGAAATGTGCCCCAAGTGGTTTTAAGGGACAGCAAGGGTAGAGGTGGGGTAGGGGGTCTCTTAGGAGGTTCTGGAGAATAGATGTCAAAAATAGATGTCACCCAGTCTAGCTGGACTAGTGGATACCTGGGTATGTTTAAACATTGGTCAGAACTGTGACATAGAGGGTTTTAAACTAAGAGTCTATCTGTAGGTAATAGGGCATTAGTGAATATTTTTATATAAGGAAATGTGTTGAAAACAATGCTCTAGGGGGGAAAAAAATCTTTCAATTGTCTGTACGTAGTAAAAGGAGAAGAGAGAGGGAACTGGAAACAGGTTGCAAACTAAAGTTATCAACTCAGGTGTGTTAGGAAGCAAAACTGAGGAAGGTGTGCTCCAGACCTCCATAATCAAGTAGAATTGTAGGAATACTGCCCTGTTTTTTAATATGGGATAATTATCAGAGAGACATGGTCATACTGAATATACGAAAGGGATGCTATTCAGAAACAGGATAAAATGAAGTTAAATTCTAATGTGGTAATTGACCATGTGACCAAGGAAGTTTCCAGTTAGATGAATTATCTGCTATAAGTTACTCTGCCAAAGCAACGTCTGTTTCTCAAACTCCCACCAAAGGGTGAGCAAAAGAGACTGCAGTAGAAATATATCTTTTATTTCTCTCTACAGTAATATACCTACTGTTCTCTCCTTTTCAGAAATAAAAACAACACATAAAAATAGCACATATTAATTTGGGGGGCTTTCAGAAAAAAACATTCTAAAATACCAGTTAAGATGGCATGTGCCTGATGCTCTCTCTTAGTGTCTAATGACTGGCTCTCAAAGGCTCTCATAGAAAAGTAGAGTCACCCAACGGTGCAGAGCCAAGAGGAAATGGCCTGTCTGCCCATGTATTTGCATCTTGCAATATTCACACTAGACAAAATTGTTGAATACAATGGTTTTCTGAAAGTGTATCAGTCATTCCCTCAAGAGAGTCATAGGAGTACAGTGTTCATGAAGAATTCAAGTGCCCACCCCGGCTTGTGTGGCTCAGTGGATTGAGTGCTGGCCTGCAAACCAAAGGGTCGCCAGTTCGATTCCCAGTCAGGGCACATGCCTGGGTTGCAGGCTGGGTCCCCAGTAGGGGGCACGCGAGAGGCCACCACACATTGATGTTTCTCTCTCTCTCTCCCTCCCTTCCCCTCTCTTTAAAAATAAATAAGTAAAATCTTTTTAAAAAAAGAATTCACGTTCCCTATACATAGCTTTGGTGCTGAGTGTTCCATCGCGTCACACTAATGGTCACGGACTGTGCTAAGTTGTAATTAATCTCACTGAGTTCATACATAGGAGGTTGAAGTTGCCATTCTAACTGAAAATTTGACTATCAAATTGTTGGTTTTTTTCCTGCTGATTTTGAAGAATATCCAAGCTAAATGATGCCTTGAGGGACTTGATTTTCAGCCTTATTTTCCTAAATCTGTACCTTCCTTTGAATGTGGAGAGAATTTCCAAATTAATGTTAATAAGATTTACAAAATCCTTGGAGGAAGAATTCTGCTTACCATGAAATCAACAGTAAAGTTGCCAGGATTAAAAAAATAAATTTTTATTTAAAAAGATATGCCCATCAAGAAATACTTCAAGATATATTTTAGAATAGAAACTCAAGATTATTTAAACACAGGAGACCTCCACAGAATCTTACAGGCACTCTTTAAATGTTTGTTGACTAAAATGAATGAATCAACACAAAAACAGCACCCAGAGAGCTGTAATGCAAATGTGTTATAACCAGGCAACTTTAAAGCCACATCCCAAGGACAACCTACTTAGGGACACAGGTGCTACATTTGATGCTAGGGCAGGACTGTGCGTGGAGAGGAGACCTGTGGGAGTTAGCTAGACCCCAAAAAGGTGAGGATATCATGGACAGCCACCTTCTTCAGGAAATAGCTAACACATAAAAGACAATGATAAATGTTTGCTAAACTGAAGAGTTAAATGCGAGGTATATGCTAGAAACATGACTTCTTTTTCAAGGTTCGTGATAAAAGGCTATCTTCCAGGTAAAATCACCTTGTAATATGCTGCTTCTAACACTTGGAACTCAGACATGGGAGTCAATATTAGTTTTCCCTCTGTAGATCTTTATCCTACAGAGACTGAAGCCAGAGGGGTTTTGTAGCAGGAGCTACTCTCAGCTGCTTTTAATAATTCATGGAGCAATTATGCTGAAATCTCAGCGTGTGTGCAGATCACCTGAGAATCTTTAAAATGCAGGCTCTGATTCAATGGGTCTGTTTAGGGCCTGAGATTCTGCATCTTTCACAAGCTCCCAGATGATGTTGATGAGACTGGGCCATGAATTGCACTTCGAACAGCAAGGTCACAAGCGGTGAATTTATAAGTAGTTAGAATAAGCAGGCGTGGTGTGATAGAAGAGCACTGGCTCTTGACTCAGAAGATGGATTATGCGAATGTGATGAGTCACTTGACTATTCTGAATCCAAATTTTCTCATTAGAAACAAATGAATATAATAAGACAGTAATACCTGCTGCATGAGATTGTTGTAAGAATGAAATTAATAATGTGTGAAAATTTACCAGAGCATATGGTAGATACCATTGCTGACTAAATGATTGTTGATTGTATATAGCAAGAATGGAAGCACACAGTTCAGCACTGGCAGCTGGTAGATGGGGCCCCCTTTGCCTGTGTGCTCTGTACTTCCAGGAGTTCATTCTTCATTCCACCGCTTTTGCCAGTTACAATATCGAGCACTTAGCAAATGATCAGTTGTTGGTGGGATTGTACTGGCAGCAAAGTTGATCATTGTCAGTCGATATTTTCAGCTTCAAAGATGTTGATAGTAAGAGAATGTCCCAGGGTTTCCTCATGGCACTAACAAGAAAGAGAACTGTCACCCAGTAGAATGGTAATAGTTAGGGGCCTTGGGTACTTCTTCGAACCAGACGCATAAACACTGGAGAAGATTAAAATGAAAAACACAGACCCGGACTCAATTCTTAGTAAAAATATAATGATAAAATAGCTGACCGTTCTTTGCTAGCCAGTAGTCACAGTGTTTTCTAATGTTATAAATTATGTGTAAAATGCATACCTCTTAGTTAAAAAAACAAAGACTAACATGGCAATTTGGCTGGCTCCTCCCCGAGGGGTGGCTCGGCCCCCTCAGGAGCCCAGACTGCGGTGGCCCAGCCGGTGGCCCAGGGGCTCAAATCATCTTTCACGGCCTCATAACTGGCTCCCTGGCACCTGGGTAATGTCCCCAGATTGCTGCTCCGAGAGTCTAACTTTCTGGCTAACAAACTTGGAAGATCTAAAATAAAACTTCTAGAAGTGCATGATAGGAAATGAAGGTAGAAAAATCGGTGAATATGTACACCCTGGCTGGTGTGGCTCAGCGGAATGAGTACTGGCCTGCGAATCAGGGGTAACCAGTTCAATTCCCAGTCGGGGCACATGCCAGGGTTGCAGCCAGGTCCCCAGTTGGGGGTGTGCAAAAGACATCCACACATTGATGTTTCTCTCCCTCTCCTCCCCCTCTCTGAAACAAACAAATAAATAAATAAAATCTTTTGTTTAAAGAAAAATCAGTGAATAACCTTCAGCATCATTTATGTCTTAACATCTCTTTCCACTGAGGATTCAGAGACAGAAACTGCTAATGCCTTGAGACAATGTAGTTCAACTCATTTGCAATAAAACCAATTCATTTGCAATTCATTTGCAGAGTGAATCAATTACTCTCTGCTAAAATAAACAGATCTTAAAGTCTAATCAGAGGACTAAAACAAAGTTTTATTAAAAGATGTTTTTCCCCCTCTTTTGCAACCTGTAGGTCCCAGGAGAAAAAAGAAGAGGCTATCACTTTACTGAAGGATTCCATTAAATATGGTCCAGAGTTTGCAGATGCTTATTCAAGCTTAGCTTCATTACTGGCTGACCAGGTGATGGTTTCCATTTAATTTCATATAATTTTTTAAAAATTTTACCATTGGATGCATAAATTAATATTACACAGATTTTTGGTACCCATGGTATAGTTTGCCTTGAAAAATGGACAACTAATCCCTATGTCCGTTTTCTTGACAGAAATTACAAGTATAGTATTCTCACTCTAAAATTTTCTGTGTAGTATAGCTGATCTTTCAACAAAAATGATTCATTATAGGCCTTTGGTATATTCTCTGTCACTTTGGGACAAAATCTGTCAAGAACAATACATGGTACTTGCTGGTACTATTTACTCATCACATTTTTCTGAGGGAATTGTTAAGTACTAAGATCTCTAAACTTAATATGGAACCTATTATCAATCATCTTATAGATCCAGTGTCTTAGTACCCACTGAAGATCACAGAGGCTTATAGGATGGGCTCCTGAGACAACATTTCTCTTGGCATAAAACAGAAGGGTATTTTAATTCTCCTCCTTCTTTTCACTTGTGTCTAAATGATTTGGTACCACTTACCAGTGTGCTGGATGCCTGCTCCCTGCTGTGGGGAAACAAATGTACGTTGTCTTCTCCAAATTGAGGATAGAGTTTTGTTGACACACATAAGTGCCCTCGATAGACAGTAGATTCTCCTATCATGCAATTACTGCATTGTCTTTAAAATCAAGCTCAACGCCCTTGAAAGGTGCCCTGCACCACTCAGTTGGCTTAAATGTAATGAATGATTTGGTACTGCATGTCAGGTACCTAGGGGTGCAATTTGCATTTGAAAAACTTTGGAGATCTCACCAGGAAACACAATTAAGGCATTCTGTGGATACTTGCGTGTCAGGAGTGATTCGTGTAGTTGTCTCCCTCTACTAGTCTGCATATAACATATGTGGGCCTTACTTAGACAAAAGCCCATGTCTATAGTGGGTGATCTTAATGCTGGTTTTAGCACAACATTTAAGCTAAAATGATGATGGTCATGTTCTATGGTGTACGCTGGCAGACCTCAGCTGCCTCTGGCTTGTGCTGAAACACAGTAGGGATTTTCTGAAGAAACCACGGACTCCGTCATTATTCTCTTTTTTCGCCTCATCCAGGGTCCTTTATTTTCTTAAGAAGACTCTTGCCATGCTGATGCTTGACTGGCTGACTTGCAGCTACTCAGACATGGGAAGCACGCTTCTTGCTCGGGGCTTTGCATTAACTGTTCCCTTTGCATGCAACACTTTTGTCTCATACATCTTAGTGTTTCTTTCCTCGTATCATGCTGGCTTTATCCCAGATATTACCATCTCAGAGAGGTTGTCTGTGACTGCCCTTTCTAAATATTCACTTCACGCTGCCCACTGTGTTCTCCATCACCTTACCCTGGCTTGCATTTCCCCATAACATTTATTTCTGTATATTGCCTGCAATCTTTCTCCCACCACTAGAATACTTAACTCCATGAGAATGGCTGCCTGTTTTCATTCATGGCGGTATCCTCACACTTGTCACAGTGCATGCAATCAATAAATGTTGAGTAAATAAATGAATCAATATGAACTGAAGAACATGGAGTCCCTCTGATCCAGCACATATTCAGAATTTACTCTTATATTATGAGGAGGGCTGGGCGTGTGGGCCACACTGTTTTGTAACTGAGTTGTGCTTCAGGGTGATGCTCTTGTCCTGCACTGAGGAACAGCCATGTAAACGTAGTCATTTTACCCATGGGGTCAGGGATGGGGTTGAGGCCAGTACCTCCTACATAATCAGTGGCTTCTTTATGATGCCTCGAGGGAGAAATTTCTCTCATGTTTCAGTATTAGGAAAGGCTAGGCTTCTGAATTATAAGATTTGTGTTTTATTTTTAATGCATGAAAAATCTTGCAATCCTGCAAAGATTAAATCTATTTCCAGCCCCTTGAATCCTACCTCCAACTAGCAACTAATCTGGACTGTACAATCTGCTTTTCTGTGAGTGCTCCTTTTAATCCTGCAGTTATAATCATGTTTCTTAGTAATTTATTTTATTCAGTTTATGCTCTATAGTTTTGAAAAGCTGCTTTAGTTTCTTTGTGGAATGATGAGAGATAAGTAAGTAAATAAATAAATAATGCTTTGCATTAATAGTTCCCATTCATATCTTTTTTTCACAACTCACCAGGACAGATAATAAACCTTAAATTGCTCTTCTTGATGCAAATGACCCTTAAGGTAAATGACAATCTAATAGTACTAATAATAGCATGGTATGTTGTTTTGGGAGAGCTCTTTACAGATAGTTTCACATTTCCATCTTTCTGCAATGCCATCTTTTCCTTCTCTTCCTCCAAAACCTCCCTGTTTTTCAAGATCCAAGTCAACTTCCACTTCCACCCTCATCATTCTTCCACCTTCCCATCTGATGGTGAGTTATATTGTCTTGAAGCCCCTATCACTTTTTAGGAAACACATATCAACTCATCATATATTCTTATTTCTTAAACTAATATCTTGAACTATAACTGAAACAGTTTTCCAGGTATAGTTTCCTTGCAAGACTACAAGTTTCTTGAAGAAAAGCAGTGTCTTCTTTGGATACCTATTCCTTCACTGGGGCTTAAGATAGTTTCCCACATAAGACAGGCATTCAGGCAACATGTCTTAACTTCAGTTACTTTGGGATTCAGTTACTCTCTGTTGTGCTACTATAAGCATTTGACAGTGAACTGAGGCACCTGTTTCCAGACCTCACTTCATGGTAACCAACTGCTCAAGGTTGGGTCAGGAGTACTTTACCTCTCTGAGCCTCAGTTTCCAAATCTGAAAATCAATAACTACTCTAAATTATTTTCACTCTCTCTTATGCTTCTAAACACTTTAGGGTGTCTAAGACTATCTTGTTTAACATCAACTACATGCCAATGAATATTTAATGAATAGCTTAAGGCTCCAATGTAATTAGTGCTATTGTTTCTATACAAATGAAGGATTACTATGTTAATATTGTGAAAAGTGGTTTGCCTTAATAAATATCTAAAAATTGCAGTTGTATTCTTTTTCCAAATTGATGAACTCTTAAGTTCATAAAAAATTACTATTTTAAAAATGATAGACATGTTTAGTGACCTTGAAATTTATTTTAGTCCATTCTGCAATATCTTGCTATTAACAAATTTTATAGATGGTGATGACTAAAAAGGACAGCATATACTTTTTCATCATTTATGTTTAAGAAGTGTCAAGTGCCTTATTGAAAATCAGTTTTGTGATCTTTTTTTTTGTGTGTGAATCACAGTGTCAAGGTGATGTAAAATTATGCATGTCTCATAGTTGAAATTATGAACAATCTTTACGAAAACCAATTATGGTTATGGCCATGATCTCTTCTTACATACAAAGGCCACATCTCCCACCAGTCTTTCCTATTCTGGGTTCAAACGTAAAATGCTGTGAGATCTGAGAGCATAATTGGAAGATGGAAAGGCTCTCTGTGCTGCTCCTTTGGGCAGTTGATTTTAACATCAAAGAGACAGAGCGGCCGATCAGGATAACCCAGGACCGCCTTACCTCTCTTTTAACATCTTGTCTTCATGCTTTGAATTCTTTAGTGATAAAAAGAATGCTTCAGATACACAAGCAAGGCACAGGAAAACTATTAGAGGGAAATCCACCTAACTTCACATTCTTTGGAAGCAAAATGAATTCTTTGTGTGCGTGTGTATGGCACAGCCTTATTTAAGAGCATTCCGCAACTTCAAACAGCAGGGTGCATGAAAGCAATGTGTACAAACCTTGGTCAATCTCAGACACATTGTGAAACTCTTCCCCTCACAGGTCATCTACCAGTTCCATCTTTGCACGTAGACAGCCCATGCTTACTGTGGTTGGGGGCCAATCTCATGTTAAAAAACTCTCCTACACTGAACTGAAATCACCTCTTCTATAATTTGCTCCCGTTGGACCCAGAGCAACAGAGAGCTTGTTGAGCACAGCTTATGAACACAGTTACGTTGTCACGTCCCAGTTATCTCTTTTTCTAAGCTAACCCCACTTCCTTCAAATTGTTTCTCATTTACCCTGGTTTCCAAATACTTTCCTTCCAGGCATATTCCTTTGTCTAACCTCTGGATTATCTATTTTCTCCATGACAATGTGGCTCCCAAATTGAACTGGCTTCTCAAACTAGTTCATAAACTCAGGGTGGAATAGGAATACTGCCCTGTTTTGAGATCCTGCATATCTATTATATGACACCCTGAAATGATTTAGCGTCCACATGATGATCTGGCTCAGACTAGAGGTACAGTCAACTGAAAACCCTGAAAAAGGGATGCGTTATTAGTCCAGGTCTCACTCATTTTGCAGGCAAGTTTTCATAGCCTGGAGGAAAGAATTCACCTTTATCTGTATTTAATCTCAACTTCCCTATATCAGCCTAAAATTTTGGGACTTTTTAGTCCTTTTTTATGCCATTCATTGTATTAACTATCCTTTCCAGGTGTTTCTTGGCAAATTGAGTAAGAAGAGCTTCTAGTTATTTCTTTACATTGTTAATAAATAATGTTGCCTGGATCAGTAGCAGAGCCAAACTTGTGGCTACCGAGTCTTGGAGAGACTTTTAGGTACAATTATTCAACTTTTGGTTAATTTGTTAAACTATATGAAGGAGACCCAAAAAAAAAACCCTAGAATTTATTTATAAAAAATTGTGTATTTATTCTTACGTGTTTAAACTTCAGGCACTTTCAAAGTACTCTCCATTTGATGCAGTACACCTACCAAGACTTTTCCACTGCTCAAAACAGTTTTTTTCCCTAAGATTTTATTTATTTATTTTTAGACAGAGGGGAAGGGAGAGAGAAAGAGAGGGAGAGAAACATTGATGTGTGGTTACCTTTCGCATGGCCCCTGGTGGGGAACTGGCCCACAACCTAGGCATGTGCCCTAACTGGGAATTGAACCTGTGACCCTTCATTTCACAGGCTGGCGCTCAGTCCACTGAGCCATTCCAGCCATGGCTCAAAACAGTTTTTG